CTCCAGATCACAGGAGGTAAAGGCAAGCTGACTTCATCCTGCCCCGACACTAATCACAAATGTTCCCTACACTGGAACAGGCACTATGGCTTTCTGTATTGTGGCCTGAAGCCACAAACATTGCACACAAATACAGGAGGAGGAGGAGGAGAAACCAGGGGTGGGGCAAGGACTCTGCAAAGGCCAGGGCTCTCACGCCCAGCTTACTTCCTGATCTTCCTTGAAGTCTTACCCACAAAACTGAGAAAGTCTTTTGTGTCCCACAGGGAGCTGACCAGCTGCCTCGTTTCTGCTCTGTCTCACATTCTTCTCCAGGGTCTGTTCCCAGCAAGCTCTCTTGCCTGGGTTCTCTCCCACCTCTGACCTGCTTGGCTGAGTCCTGGAACGTAGGTTTGGTTGCCCCCCCCCCCCCGGGGCTTGGCTGTCCTCTCTGGGTTCTGGAACAGGGCTCTACTCCCCCCTCGGGTCTTCTGTTTCTTACTGAAGCATGACTAGCCTGTGGCAGTGGAGTACAGTGGTCCAGCTGTGTCAGACTACCCTGTCTGAAGGGGACAGACGAGACTCCCTTCCCCCATTGCTTGCCAGGCCTTTGGTACTGACACAGCCCTTGTCTCTGGTGTGGTTTCTGGACATCTTAAATGCAGGTTTTCTGCTAAAAGCCCTTGGCTCTCTGGAAAATTTTCTTCACTTTTTGGGGAACATGGGGCCCCTCCCTTCCAGTGTTCACGGTGGAAGCCACGCCCCTCTGTATCTTCCCTGGAGAGAGCTGCTGAGATCCTCAGTGTGATTGAGTTTGGAAGAGCAAACGCTTCGTTTTCTAAACATGAACTATAAAGATGTCCTTACTCAAGACATCTGAAATTCCAAAGTTGGTCCAGGATGTCTGGAGGCAGTGGCCACATAGGAAGTCTGAAATGGGCTTGGGCTTGGGAGAGATATCGTCCTCAGCCTTAAGCGTTATGTCCAGAAGAGACCCAAAAGGAGATGGGTCCAGGACTTGGAGAGTTGTCATTTCTGGGGTGGCCTTGAAGAGCCAGCCTGCCGCCATCTTATAGTAAAGACAAACTAAGTTAATTTCTGTCTACGATTAAATCTGCCTCTCAAGGACCGGCCTATGCCCTGCCTGTAACCATAACTACAAACGCTTCTGCCGTGCGGGCTCCAGGAATGGCCGTCCTGTCTTTGTTTCAAAAAGTTGTTTGTAACCATCTCGCAGCCCCACCTTTGTTCTGAAAGGATACGTGACCACCTATGACTGCCTTGCTTTGCTCATCTTGCAACCCGGCCTTTGTTTCAGGAGAGACCAGCATGTTACTGCTTCTGATCTGCTCCTGTATCCCTGCCTAGTTTGCCTGTCAGATCCCCCGTGTGGAAACCCCCTCCAGTGCTGACCTCGCTAACCCAGCCTTAGAAGAAGGCAGTGCACGTACATGAAAAAAAAAAAAAAGCTTGTTTTAATTGCTTACTTTAATTAATTTGGTTACAATGATCTGGGTCAGTGGTCTTTCTCCTCCCATCTGGGATTATTAACTGGCTCTGGGCTCTGGAGAGTCAACAAAGGGGATGAAGAAAGGAGGAGGGAGGGGGCAGAACAGGGTTCAGAAAAATGGTTTCCCAAACTTAGGGGAGGAACCTGAGCAGATACTATCACCCCAAAAGGCTGCGCTGCTGCTATAGTGAAGGGGTCAGCCCCCGGGGGGGGGAGTGCTTTAGAGAGGGAGGGCCTAAGGACCTCTGGATGAGGGGGCAGTGGAGACCCATCTGTGGGATCTGAGGAGGAGGGAGGCAGACCTAAGCCATCAAACTTTAGGCCTCGCCTTTCCTCAGAGGACCAGGCACAGCGGGCATTTTTTGAGTCTTCGCTTGTGATTGCAGGAAATCTAGAGAAGGCGAGTCAAGGGCTAAGGCATCCCCCCCCCCAATTCCAGCTAAGGAAAGGCAACCCTCATAAGCCAGCGCTGGCAGGGAGGTAAGGGTCTCCAATGTTCCCTGGTAGCAGCAGCCTTCCTAAGAGCCAGAGCATAAGTGTCGGAGGTCTTGCTTCTGGGCAGAGAAACTGTGACAAATGATAACATGGGGGGAGCATAAGTGTGAGGGAGGGAGGGGGGCGTAAGTAGTTCAGGAAGGAAGTGAAGGCGAGGTGTCAGAGCTCTGCCCTCACTCAACAATTGACGTTTTTGTAATATCAAGGGCTGCGGGTGGGGTGGGGGTGGGGGGGTACACAGATAATCTGGAAAGCCAGTTAACAACAACACAGTGGAAGAAGGCTTTGAGGAATGTTTGTAGAATGGAAGCCCAAGGTGGACAGTTGGACAGTTCAAGTGTTGTATAACCATTGAGCAAAAGAAGTCAGACGTAAAAGGGCTACAAGACAGTGTTGGCAACCATTATGTCAAGTGGCGGTGGTGTGTGCTGGGGTGTGTGTGGGGGGGATGAGTTCAGGAGAGTGACCACCCTTGGAACAGGTGGTGAGATTCCCGGCAAGGAGCTCAGGGACCTGAAGTAGGCCTGGCAGGGCTGTGTTTGTAGGTCGAGATGTCAGCAGTATGTCTGCAGTGCTCTGGCCCGGACGCAGGGCGCCCACGCAGTCTGCGTGCGCTTTTGTTTACTTCCATTAAAAGTTGGTTTTTAAAGCAATGCTTCAGTTGCTTCTGATTTCACCTCCAACAATATTGTCCCATGCTCTAGCCAGCCAGTCTGGCCAAACACCAGAGGGACAGCAAAGCTTCCTGTCCCTTGCTTTCCCTTGGCTACTGCCTTCACACACAAGTGACCAACCACATGGAAACTACTAAAGGTCCCCCTGAGCCCTGACTCTTTCAGGACTAGTATTGGCTCCTAGCTTCAGCCCTGCCCATGGTGGGCAGCTCTGGAACAGGGTACATCCTATTCCCTGGGATAGACCCCAATGGAGGATGTCTTTTTCCAATAATCCCCAAGGTACTCAGTCACCCTGCCAGGAGTATTAATCAGACTTTCTTGTGGTCTAACAAGAAGGTTCAGAAAAAGACATCTGAAGGTTTGACAACAGTCAATAGTTTGGGGTGGTTCTAGACCATATCTGTTTCCAATTGCTTAGCTGCGACCAAGCCAGGTCAATCTGGCCCAGAGGGCAGCTGCAGCTTGCCTGGTCTAGATTTCCTCTGCTCCTCAGAGCGGAAGTGGAGGTGCCACTTGGCCGTTAAGACAGCTCGACTTTCTCCCTCAGCCCTACCAGACTGTCGGACATTGGCCGTTTGGTGATAATACGCATACGCTCGGAGTGTGCCTACATCTGCCCAGTCCCGTCCCGGGACCCCGCGGGAGCCCTCAGGTGGGGACATCACTTCCTTGGCACTAGTGAAACACGCGCACACACACACACACACACACACACACACACACACACGCACACACACGCGCGTGCGTGTGCTTTTCCAGCAAGTTCTACACTCACAGTGGCCACCATGACTTTTCCTTTGGCAGTCTCTTAAGCCCCATCATGGGCCTGGGCTGTGTGATCTGTGGGATATTCTGTACCCCCGCCCTCACTGTCTTAATTAGGTTTCTGTTGCTGTGACGAAACACCATGATCAACAAGCAAACAAGCAAACTGGGGGGGTGGAGGGTTGTTTTGTTTTGTTTTGGGTTTTTTTTTTTAATGGCTGTTCATCAACAAAGGAGGTCAGGACTGGAACTCAAGTGGGTCAGGAACCTGGAGGCAGGAGCTGAGGCAGAGGCCATGGAGGGGTGCTGTTGACTGGTTTGTTCCTCGTGGCAGCTCGCTCAACCTGCTTTCTCATAGAACCCAGGACCACCAGCCCAGGGGTGGCACCACCCACAGTGGGTTGGGCCCTCCTCCACGGATCAGGAATTGAGAAAATGCCTTACAGCTGGGTCTCATGGAGGCATTTTCTCAACTGAGGCTCCTTCCTCTCTGATGACTCTAGCTTGTGTCAAGTTGACACATAAAACCAGCCAGTACACCCATTTTTAAATACTCTCTGAGGCCTCCTATGGGGATTTTGTTCTTTAAACAGTGTCTTTTTTGATATTTCCTGTCATTAGCGGCCTCGTTTCATCATGGTTCCCCTTGTCTACCAGCAGGAACCCGAGAAGGGTGTGTTTGGGGGTCTTTTCCTCTCCTGCCAGATTTATTACCGTTAATCAATACCTGGTACCTGTTGGAGTTAACACCCGAAGTGCTGCCCAAGGACCCACCCACCCACCCACCCACCCTAGATCAATCACTTTGGAGAAAGAACGCAGCCAATGCCCTTTCTGTATAGCCTTGAGGAAGTAGCCATTTACCTTAACTAAAAGCTGCATCTCAACTTCACTTGCTGAGGAAGTGTGTAAGACGGTGAGGGGAGTGTCTCTCATCCCTCTCGGGTTAAATGGCAATACTGTGGGCCAGAGCATTGAGCTCATTATCCAGAAAAGTACAACTGGAGAAGAAAAAGTTCTAGAAAGCCCTGGGGATATTTTAGGACAGTGAGAAAAATAAGACAGACTCTGCTATTGAAAACAGTGACTTGTGGTTCTGTTACAAGTGTTTGCTTATCTCTGAATGGCTGCGGCACTGGTTAAGCTGCTGCTTATCTCTGGATGGGGGGCAGCATCCGTTAAGCTGCCTGGGGGTAGGGGCGGGGTTCTCTGGGGTTCCTCCTTCCTGTAGAAGTTCCAGTCTGGCCACACTCACTCAGCATCCTGCCGCCACAGGCCTGTGCATGTGTGAGACCCTCCATGCTGTCTAAAACCCAGCATGGTTTTTGTCTGTTTTTCTGCCACTTCTAAGCCTGACTATTGTCAGGTTCAGTGGCTTACATCCCTTGTTAGCCCAGGGTTTCTCCCCCTCTTCCCCCTCTCCCCCCACTTCCTCCTCTGACTGACTGCTGGCCCCCGCACTAGTCAGACCTACAGTTTGATGCTGAGTGGCCTGTTTTCCATTATTAGTGGGGGGAATGTCCTGCCTCCATTGGAGTCCCCCCCCCCTCCAGCAGCTGAGAGCAGTTTATCCAGCTTGCCCACTCGCTCTCAGAGGCCCTGTCTCTCTCATGTTTGGTGGGTACCAGGGATTTGGGATGCAGAGGATGGTAAGTAAGACACGAAATTCTGGTGCTGGGAAAGGCAGTTTGCTGCCATCAAGGGGAGGGGAAAAATGAAAGCAGCCCCGGGGGCAGGAGGGGGAACTGGGGGTGCAGGCTGAGAAGGGTTGGTCAATGCGGGCTGGCCTTTGCCATGTGTGGTTGGATCTGGAGGTTGGAACAGCTAGAATGAAGCTGAGAGCTGAAGAGAATGTACAGAGCCAAGCATCCGAGCACACTCTGGAGAGAGAGGGAGACTTGAGAGGCGTGATGACCCCCCCCACCTCCCCATGCAACTTCACGGGGTGCCGTGGAGGAGGAAGAGGGGGTGGGTATTGGGTCTTGGTAGCAGGGAGATGACTGAGCGACCTGATGAAAACCTCCCTCTACCTCCACTTTTTTCCAGCTCTCTGCAGCATGGGGCCTGCTGGCAGCATGGGGCCTGCTGGGACTTGTCTCCTGCTGTGCTTCAGCTCCTTCCTTTTGTCTATACCTCTCGGGTCCCAGTCACCTCCCTGTGCCAGCAGAAGCCTCTTGCCTGGGCAGCCTCTGGACATGCACTGTCCCCATTCCTCAATGAGACGAGACGGCGTCTCCCCGCTTGCCTCTTCGGCCCAGTAGACTCTCTCCAGATGTGCCTAGTCCTCAGCTGGTGTGGCCTCAACAGAGAGACTCAGACCCACCAGGCCTCCTAGAAAAGTACATGGCCAGTGGAATGCAGGAGGCCCTCATTTGCCCTGAGCCCGGGAAACCCTGTGACTTCGCTGATGAGCGCTGTGGTTGTTTGGAACTTGATTTTCTTGGGATCTGCCTACTTCTCACCTGTCCCCTTTACTGTTCGCAGTCCCCACCTCACAAGCCTCTCAGCTACACCTGGCACTTCTGTAGCCCATATTTTAGGTACCAATTTTTTTGTGCCCCATTTTGGGCACCGACTGTTCTGATGTCTTGAAGAGCTCCTCAGGCAACCTTCTCTCTTTCTAGCAAGATGATACACTCAAGCCCTGAGGACAAGGCTTGGCCCTCTCCTCCTCCCCCACCTCCTGGGAAATACACAAAGAAACTCAATGGTCATCAGAGATATACTGGCCCAAAGACTACCTGCCAGACACGGGAGGCTGAGGGCTCAGGCAGGACTAATTGGGCTACATAAGCCTGGTGTCTAATAGGGACAGTAGTGACAGGTGACAGGCAGCTCACAGGGGCTGGAAGACATGAGTTCTCCAAGGGAAAGGAAGGAGAAGCCTGGTGCTTAGGACCCTTGGGACCATAGGATGTGAGAAGGCTTAAGACGCCCAGAGGTGGGGTCAGAAATGGGGCAAAGGAGACCAGGCATAGTGGAAGACCAGGCTGCAGTGGAAGTGTACAAACATGAGAAGCAGGCCAAGACACAGCCCTCAAGAGGCTGCAGGCAGGCTAGGCTGTGGAATTTTGCATTAGGGGACTGTACAGACCCAGAAGCCCACTCCTACCCTCACTAGCTTAGCCCCGACATATGGTGCTACTGAAGTAGTTAAATGGGCCATTGGTAAAAAGGAAAGAGACTATTCCCCAGGCTCCCCCCCACCCCCCAGGGTCCACAGCCACGCTCCAGGAACACTCAGTTCCAGGGCAAGGTGAACTGGACAGCAGCTGGAGGACTACTCGTGTCTTCATCTTTCCCGCACCTTAGGGAGGAGTGCAGTGGGGAGTGGGGAGGACTCTATTGTGACCGCAGGGTCATGTGCATTTCCATTTAACTGAGTTCTGCTTAATCCAGGCTGAGGCTCACAGTAACGGGGAATGATGTGAGGGAGCCCGAGGAGCCCGAGGCATAGACGACAGCCTCCCTGTAAAGGCCGTCAGAGGAGTCCGCACAGCCAGTTCCCTAGGGAGCCGGCCTGCCCTCCCTCACCTGTTCATCCTTTGGGGCTCTTGTGACCTCCCTGTCTTCTTGTGAGATCTTATGTTCCTCCAACCCTGAGAGCTATAGATCAGTTCCCAGAGTAAAATACTGCCCCTTGGGACATAATTGTGGCTCTGCTAGCCTCCACGGCTTGCCCCACTCCCACCCCTGGCTACCCTGCCGTCCCAGTCTCCTTGTTTTCTTCATAGCACTTATCATTATCTGGACTCACCCCCCACCCTCTCCCCCTTGCTAGTTGTCTGTCCCCCACCCCCACCCCACCTCCTTGAAAGCTCCCCCGCAGGCGGATTTCTAGGGCAGGAGCTGTGTAGACAGGAACTCAATGAGTATTTGTTGAATGGATGAATGGGTGGATGACACCAGATGGGGCTCTCGGGCCGAGGGGGCACAGGAGGGAGAGGCCCGGATCAAATCTCCTTGATTCGCATCCCAGGACTGTCTGGTATTGTGGCTTGGGAGAGGGGTGCTTGCTGAGCCCTAGTAGAGAATGTTCTAGGCCATGGCTGGCCCTGCTTGTTCCCTGACAAATGGCTAGCTGCAAGCTTATGAGTTGGGATGGCTTCTCCTGTTTCATTTGGGCATGAGCCTTGAAGGTAGAGAAAGTTACCTCAAAATGGGTTTCCTCAGGCTAAGTGCCAACAGGTGGAGAAAGGGCTCCAGAGGCAGAAGAGGAAGAAGCATGGTCTCCCGGGCTGCCCGCCGGACTGGAAGGAGTAAGGTTTTGTACAGTGAACCCACGGGGCCCTGTGGGACAGTGGCTAGTCCAGCCGTGGGCAGCAGGACACCCAAAGATAGAGCTTTGTGTCAGGTGCAGGAATAAGTCTAATTATCCCATTCTGCCCCTGCCCTGGCTTTGGGGTGTTTGGGGTGGACAGTGGCCCCCCATCTCTTTCCAGCATGCAGTGACCAGTTGTAGCTCAAAGTAACAGTACCATCACTACCATCTCAGAAGTCCCACCCAGCCAGGATAGGGAGGTCAAAGGAACCCAAGGGATCCCAAGATCCTCCCTCCAGGGGATATAGGACCACAGGGGCTGGCAGTGGTGGGTGGCGGTAGGGGGCAGCACAGGGAAGGATGGGGTAGGACAATGGAAGGGAACAGAAATACAAAGTTAGGAATAAATACCTTTATTCCAAAGGTTGTTTTCTACAGATTGACGGGTAATACATTCACTGGTCTTCCCTGCACACTTGTTAGGGAGTGTGAATCTTTTTTGGGAAAGATCTCATACAGGCCTGGCCAGGAACATTTAGGCCAGAATGTATCTGCTAGGCACAATTCTACAAAGGAGAGAAAGGACTACCCCTCCTCCAGACTTGATGTCTGGGTATATCTACTCTGAGTGGAAAGACCAGCCACATGCCCTGTGGCATATCCAAAGAGCCCCCAAGCCGGAGCCCCAATAGCCTCTGTGCCCTGACATGCACGCTCAGAACACAGGGTGCCACGGCTTTGGACACCCCAGTTTTGCCTGTCAGGTGTGGAATTGTGTCTGCAGCCACCATACTGCTGTCTCCTCAGAGCAACTGGTGCATGGCACATGGCTTTTGCACAGGCTGCTCCCTTCAGTCACCTTCCTGTCCCCTGCTATGAAACATGGATCCAACCAATTAGGTTTCCTGCTTCCAGGCCTTGGGTTCCCGTCTTCCGTGCTGCACCTCCTGGGAGTCTGGGCCTGGAGCTCTCTGGCCAGTACCCTCTTCCGTTCACAGCTGCAACCACCTGCCTCGCCTGCTGAGCCCCTCTCCCTGACAGATCTTCAGCCGCAGCTGGTACCGGCTGCAGCGGGTTTTCCCCATTCCCTGGTAAACGAATATGAACTCTACCAATCTTAAACCACCTCTGTGCCGAGAACAGAGAAGAAGACCGTAAACAGGAGGGTCTGAGGGTCTGTGAGACTTTGATAAATCTCAACAGAGATCGTGAACACGAGTCCTCGACCAGAGAGGGCCATGGCTGGGGAGGCGGCCCTGGCGGCGGAGTTCTTCAGGGTCTGACATCTCCCAGGTCTCTGGGTTTTCTTGACCTCAGGACATCTGAGATCTAGTTTGTCCTGAATATTGTATGTGGGCTCACAAGCTGCAGGAAGTTGTGGGGGCTGGGTAGGGTCTGGGGCAGGAGGCTGAGAAGCCAGCTGTCCAAGATGACAGACACCTGAGGCAAAGAACTTGGTGGCTACATACTTATGTCAGCCACTGTGAAGCCAGGGACCTCCACAAGCAGAAGACTTAGCAAGGGGCCGACGTAAGCCTTAGCTAGGGGAGAGGGGCTTTGTAAATCGGAAGGAGCACCTTGAACTATTTTCAAGGAGAGACATTCACCCTGAAGGCTGACCCTGCCTGAGGCTCTGTCCACAGTAGCGGAACCCAAGCCAGTAATGGCAGTTTTGTAAGGAATTGGGAAATGGGTTTTCCAATGTGCAACATCACTACTGTTCTAGTTTCTGGGGATCGGTCTCTGTGCTTTGGGAGGCTCCATTAAATGAGAGTTGGGATGTGGTGAGACAGAAGGGTGTGTAAAAATTTTCACCAAGGCTAAACTCACTGGTGGTGCTTGGGACCCTGGCAGTGTAGAAAGACTCCCTGTTAGCATAGTGTGTGTGTGTGTGGGGGGGCAGCAGCGAAGGCAAGAACCTGCTTTGGGACGTGGGATGGACTTGCTAAGCTGCCCCTGGCTGAAGAACTTGGAAGCCTGCAGCAGGAAACTGGTTGGCAGGTTCTTGGCAATCATAGCACGGCTTTGGACTCCGCTTGGATGGCCAGACTTCTTGGTCTCTACAGAGGACTTGCAGTCTCCCAACCTAATCTCCTTGTGAAGAAAGACTGTGCAAGAGTGGGGGAGACAGTCTGCTTGGGACTGGAGGAGTCAGCAACTCGTCAGTTTCCATGTCAAAATGCCCCCTGAGAGCAAGCGCAGGCTCTGAACCCAGATGGAGCTGTGGGAGGTGCTGCTCTGGAGACAGTGAAACTGGCCAGGGGGAAAACTCAAAAGAGCCCTCAAACGTAGCTACATCCCACGATGGGCACACCTGGCTTTGGTTCTGAAGGAAAGCTGGCTCCTCCCTTCCCATCAGAAGTACGTTAAGAACCAGGCCCTGGATGAGGTCCTGGTGGAGAAGGGAAAGGAGGAGCAGACAGAAAACCTGCTTCCGAGAGCAGCTCTGGGTCAGGGAGAAGGCATTAGGGGCCAGGGCAGTGTGAGGCCCCTCAGCCGCTTGGGCATGGCTGCCCGGGCATGGCCACCTGCACAATCAGGGCTGCTTGGTTTCTTTCCCTAATTGTCATGGTTTGGATCTTAAATGTCCCTCAATGTCACATGTGTTGGAAGTTCTGTCCCAGGGACCCAAGTTTTCAGAGGTGGGGCAACTGGGTCTTGAGAACTCTGTCCTCCCCTATGGATTAATCCACTGATGGACTCATAGTTTGGTGGGTTTCGGGGAAGGGGCTGCCATACAAAAGCAAGCCCTCTTTGCTTCTTGGCTTCCACAAAACTTTGTGCCAGCTTGCACTCCCTTGCCATGATGATTTGAACCAGCACAAGTCTGTGGGGGACAGGGCCAAGCCACCATGGGCTGAAACCTTTGAAACTTGAGCCAAAATAAATCTTTGCTCCTTTCTCAATTCTACCCAAGTTACTCACGGTATTTGCAAAGCTGGAACTGTCCTTGTTTCCACAGGCTAGAGACAGGACGCAGAAGGGGCTGGCCGTTGGCCAGGAGGGTGCCTGGTATTGATGATTATCACTCCAGTATTGGAGGCCAGGCAAAGACCAGAGGAGACACAGCCTGCTCAAGAGAGGCAGCAGGCGTGCAGCTCAGGACAAAAGGAAGGGCCACCCCTAAACCCCACATGATGAGCCCTAGTAGGAGAGACTCCTCTTCCTACATGGGGCTAAACTTTGATCCGAATCAGGCTTAGGGCCACATTTTTTTAAGCTGTAGATCAAAGAAAGCTGTGTCATTGTGTCTGCCCAGCCACTGTGCTGCTTAAATGTTGGGACCCTGGCTACCCTAGCAGCTGCCCTGGATGTCAGGAGCCACAGAAGCAGCCTGGTCACTATAGTTCCTGGTCTTTAATTTGCCAGAGATATTTGTTCTGAGCAACAGGAACAAACTGCTGGCGCCGACACATGGCCAGGCCCCTGCCGTGTCTTGTACTGAAAAGTTTCTGTCCTTCAAGACGGTATAAGATCGGCCAGACAGGGCTCCGTCTTAAAGGGGTAAGGTGAGCCTGGCTGCCCTTGGTGTTTCCCCAACCCTAAGGTCCTAGATGACCCTTGGAGGTGTGATCAACGGAGCCCCTCATTGCGGGTGGGGAGTCTCCGGAGTATGCAGGGAGCCAAGCGGTACATGAGCACCTTCTTCAAGAATGGAGAGGCTTGAGCGAGTCCCAACTCACAGAAAAGGCAAAGCCCAGGAAGAGTCTACAGGGCTCTTGGCCCAGTTGAGTATTTCAGTTCCCAGTGGGCAGCCAGGATGTCCTAGGAGGGTGGGCAGGTCTTGTCTTCTCAGGGCCTTACGTGGTAAGCCAGGCCTACCAGCCGGTTGTCCCACTTTGAGGAGAGAATGAGGTGAGGCAGGTGCGGCCCTGCAGGCCCTCCCCTGTCTTTCTGCCATTCTTAGCGTGTCACCTCACGCTCCCAGTGTCTCAGGGTGTCTCTAGTTATCTTGCAGAGGAAGGAGATACAGGCCTGGCTGGAAGGCTCCTGTAGACCTTGGACCCTCTGCTTCTGTCTCCTCGGCCAGAGCTGAGGCCAGGCCAGTTCCATATGCAGCCACTGCAGGTGGCCAGAGAGGAGGGAGGGAGGGCCTGATATGCAGCCACACCCCATCTCACACAGTCGAGTCCCTGGCCGGCAGTTCCCTCCTGCTTAGGCCCTCTCTTCACGTTGAGGCCTAGGTCTGGACCCTTCTCTGCCTTTCTGAGGTACAGCCAGCGTAATGCATAGGTGTTCACCTGGGGGGTTTGGCAGTCAGTGGGGCAGCTCGCGTCTGCCACCACGGAGTAGTCATGCTTATTTAAAAATTATTAAGCAGGACAGCACAAGTGTTGGGAAGGACACCGAGGGGGAAGTGGTGGTGAGAGGGAGGGCCAGGTAGATGACTTCTGGGGACCAAGCGGTCTGAATCCAGACCGAAAGGACCCACTAGATCAAGCCAGAGAAGAGTCAGGGTGCCAGTGACTGCACACAGAAGTTGTGCCACAGGGCTGAGTTGGGGGCAAACTGGAAGCTGTGGCTGGAGAGGAAGTGGGTCAGTGGGTCAGTGGGTCAGGGTGGGCCACAGAGCAGTCTGCTGTGCAAGACTGGGACACGGATGGGTAGAAAGCAAAGGACTAGGAAGAGACGACAGTTGTGACAAAGGCCAGGGAGAGGCCGCCTTCCTCACGGTTCTCTAGAAGGACAGAGTCAGCGCGCGTATGAGACCAGTGGCTCACACAGCCGAGAGCTGTGGCGTCCAAGTGTACAACGGAAGGAGAGAGAACCCAGATGCTTCTCAGTCCAAGAATCTGGATGGGTCAGTCGTCTCTCCGACACCGAGGCCTGGGGTTCCTTGGATCCAGAAGAAGCTGGAGTCTGAACCCATGGGCAGGTGATTGACGGCAGCCATGACAGGTGCTGGCACAGAGCTGTGTACCCAGGCTGGCTTCCTTTTCTTCCAACTTTTTTTCCATCCGGGCTGCAGTCTCTTGGACAATGCCGCTCACATTCAGGACGTGTCTTTCCGCTCAGTGCCGTCCCACTTGTCGATTCTCTCTGAAAACGCCTCTACAGGCACTCTTAAGGCATGCTTGTTGTACAGGTCCCAGGCATCTCTCCTTCCAGTCAAGTTGACAAAACCAAGACCAGCCAGCACGGAAAACTAGGCCTGAGCTCAGAAAAGGGTGCAGACGGAGAAGCCTCCGGAGAGGCCAGAAGCTAGACTGCGAAGCAGAGCTCTCTCGTGTGGAGGGAGAAGGCTGCACATGCTGCAGAGGCAGTGTGGCCTGAGAAGAGGGCAGACAGAAAGTTGGCTGAATGCCATGAAGACCCAGCTGCCTCCCTGGGATACCACATGTGCAGAGACCATGGAGAGATACAAGAGCGTCCTTGACAACGAGGACAGCAGGTGACAGACAAGGGAAGACAAGTCTTTGCTTTCCTTTGGGCCACCTTCGCCCCCACCCCAACCCCGGGAGGTAGCCCAGCCTTGATCCTTCCGCTGTCCCCATTGCCCCTGTGCTTTGTCCTCCTGCTGACTGCCCTGTCGAGGTCCTGTGGGCAGGTTCCAGATATGAGGTTTCAAGGGTTGCTAGGGGAAGGCAGGTAAAATGTCCCCAACTAACTCACAGGTCAAGGAGGTCTCCATTTGCAGCAGGTTTGTTGACTACTTCCGGAGCAGCCCACTCCGGCAGAAGCTGACGAACAATTCCCACATGAGCTAGGGAACCTAGGAAAACCCTGTCCTGTCCTGGCCCAGGGTTCCTTTCCAATGCTACTGTAGCCAAAACAAAGGGCCTCCCAGACACTGTTGGGGGCACAGAGCAGATAGAGCTTCGAAATTTAGCCTTGCATCTGTGCCAGACACCAAGAGGGAGGGGCCACCTCTGAGCTGGTTCAGGATGCCTGCCGCATGTGCACTGCGGTCTGCAGTGAGCGCTTGCCCCATCAGATTCCCCTTAAGAAATCCCCTTCTTGTAAACTAATCCAAGTGGTTTCATTCTGGTGTGCATGCGTGCGTGCGTGTGTGTGTGTGCGTGTGTGAGTGGTTCAGTGAGGACATGGGAGGAGTCTTCCCCCTGGGTCTGCAGATGGGCTCCATGAGGTCCACGGGGTCCAAGAGAAGGTACGCCCAGGAGCTTGCTCAAAAGGCTGTAGTCTACAGCGGGCAACACTTCCTGGAACTGGGAACAGACAGAAGCCCAGAGCAATGCCCGGTAGTGTACTGGACAGACACAGAAGGCCTGGGGGGGGGGGGTGGCCAGGCAAGGGCCAGTTTAGTTTCCTCGCCTGTAAAATCAGGGTAGCCAGTCATTCGTTCACACACTCACGCACGGAACTTGTATCTTGTGAGGCAGAAGAGCGTATCTACGGCCTTGGGACTCCGCAAGCGAGAAGAGAGCAGGGCTCACGCTCCTGCACCAGATGTCCAGCTGAGAGCGAGGGACAAAATTAATGCACAGCTAATGAATATGACATCCAAGAGCTTGGGCGTGGCACAGGGAAGGGGGGGAAGGGTCATGTGACGGGAGGAGGTGGAGGAGGGAAGAGGAGGAGGCAGCTGCCACCGCCTTGGAGCTTGGGCAGGCCTCTTCCACGCTGAACTGGACCAGGAGGAAGAGGGACAGCCTTGTGAGTGTGAGTGGAGCAGAGGGGACTCCCGAGAGCTTTGGCCTAGCTGCCTGGTTATCGAGGGGTGTATTAGAGGCAGGGGAATGATGGATTTAGACCTCTAGCCAGCCTCTGGCTCAGCCAGGCCCTGAGAAGGCTCAGTCTCCCAAGCAGAAGGCAGAGACTCGGGGGTACACG